AAGTGGAACCAGCGCAGGCAATCCTCGCGCTGGGTTAGCGGGTTTGCCTCGTTCTTCTCCAGCAGTTTGTGGGCGGCAATCTTCTGGTTAGGAAACTTGCTGCCACCGAACCAAGGATGATTCGAGTCACAGCCCTCCCAGCTGACCGCCTCGGAATCGGGCCGCAGCTGGAAGTACATGGCGCCAGCCTTGAAGCCACAGTCGGGTCCCAGGAGTTCCCGGCCGTGGCCGCCTCCCGGTGGGACCCCTGGGGGCCTCTGGCCAGGGGAATCTGTTGCCGTGTCGTCTGCTTGCGGCCAACTCTGCACCCTTTGCAGAAGCGCAGTGTATCTTTCTCGTTTCCCCGGCGTCGTGTACTCCCCTACCACCTCACGGCGTTGTGGCAGGGTTTTGACGACCTCGCACCTCCATTCCCTTTGGGCCTTCCGCAGCGCCGCAAGCATCGGCTTCTTGTCTTCGTACGTCTCGAACCTTGCCCGGGTCTTTTCGATGCGTTCCTTCTCGTGCTCGACCCTTCTCCGGCCCTTTGCGTTCAGATTTGCCAAGAACTGAGCACGCTTGTCGACCCTGATGCTGAGGTAGGCATTGGCAATGTCTCCCTGGTAGATGATGCCGTCCATGAAGCGCCAGGGCTCCCTGCCGTATCCTTCAGGATCATTCTTCGCAGCCTCATTTGCATACTGAGTGTCAATATGTCCAAAATCCAAAGGGGGTTCTGCGGCAGCTTGAGTGTTGCTCACTCCGGTCGCGGGAGGTGGTGGTGGAAGGGGGCTAATGGGGATGCCTTGAGGACCCATGGCTGTATTTCGCATCGGCCAGGTTTCGGTGCGGTGGTCGGAGAACCTGGTAGACTAGAGAGCGAGAGCTGGCGGCCCTGGTCTTATGTTCCGCCATATTGTGCGACCCAGAGTTCAGCAAGGCACGATGCAGGCATGAACGGTAGGCAGGCTGCGGTGGCGTCGATAAGCTGGACGAAAAGGGTGCATTGGGGCGGCGCTGAGTAAAAGGAGGGTGTGATGCTCGTCTTCACCCTACATTCCCATAGCCTGACCTCGACGTCACTGATTCTTTCCAACTCCTCACGGCCCACGCCATGGCCTTTATTGAGCTTGCGATTCGGCCAACATCATCTTCGTCACGTCATATCCAGGTCTTTCTTATGTCTGGGGGCTTGGTGAAGATTCCGGGCGGCTCCATGGATGCTGAAGATTTTGGCCGGAGAATCCTGGTCCTGGCAGCGTGCCCTCAGCATTGATCTCTGCAGAGCCTGACCTCGATCGCTGCGGGAATTTGGGGGCAGATGCCTTAAATGGCTAGCTTGAACCAGCCGCCGGTGATCTGTCAGCTGTGGTGGCGCCTCGAACGCGAGCCAGTGCAACGCACCCTCACCACATTTGGCCTTCAGATGGAGACTAAGGTATGTGGCCGTAGCGGCTCACGGAAGAGCGTGAAGTCATTGGCTGATGTGTATCAACTCGGCCGAGTGGTTTTATGGACAATGCGGCCGACCAGGAGTCGCGAGAGCGAGAGTCGCCAGCAAATGTGCGGAGCTGGATCGAGTGATCGAGGCCTGGCGGGGGAAGCTGGCGGGTGCGGGCATGGCTGGGTGGGTGGGGCGCCCAGGCAGTCATCAATCGTCAATGGATCCCAGCCATTTCTGCAGCTTTCATCTTTGCTCCGCTCTGTTACAAAAAGCAGCCTGCTTACAAAAAGACAATCCCATGCTTTGCTCCAGATATCCATGAGTGCCTGCGCAATGGAGAAAAGATTCCGACCTGGATTGAGAAACAGCAGCGATGGCGCCCGAGGGGAAATTGCCACCACCCTTTTCGGCAGGATTTGCCCCATCTGCGGCTGAGCTCGGCTGATGCCACGCCACCACCCCCAGACCTGGTCCTCAATGCTGTTGCGTCGACGGCAGCCAGCTTTATTGGCTTGGCCTTGTCACCCGCCAAGCGACCAAAGCTGCAGCTCAGCTACGAGGTTGGGCCTAACACCATGCACCGCAGGCCTGGACGAGTCGGCGGGAGGCGCTACCAGTCTGTGCCCAGGCGCAAAGCCCGTCCGTTTCATCATCATGCCTCGCGATCCCCTGCTGGCTCTAATCTCCCCCCACCTTGGCGCAGTCCGTCGTTGGAGAGGCCTGCTTGCTGTTTCTGTCCTTTTCGTTCTCTTTTTCCCTTTCTTCCTTCGCTCATCCGTCCCTACGTGCGTCGACCGAGTGTATTATCTCGAATCGCCGGCGACCAACGGCTCCGTGACAGCGCCCTTCTCGATTCCGACTGCACGAGCATTTTTGGCCGCCCGGACTCCTGACCGACCCGCCGCCCAATCTCCAATCTAAATCCCCGATCCAAATCGCGGTGGGTGGAGCGTCGGGAATCGATCCAAGGTTCAGACGAGGGAAAGGAGGAGTCGGGCGCACGGATTTTTCCTTCTTGACGGGTCTCCCTGGGTTGTATTCCGACGATGCTCGCCCCGCTCCAAAGGCTGCTGCTCGC